AAAAAAAAAAAAAAAAGAAAAAAAAAAAGAAAGAAAGAAAACAACTTCCAACCCAGACTGATGTACCCTGAAAAGCTATCTATCAAATTTAATAGAAAGATAAGATACCATAACTGAAGAACAACTGAAGAAATTCATGACAAGCAAACCATCCCTACAAAGAGTACTGACAGATGTTTTAGGAATAGACAAACTTGACCACAACTTCAAGAACAACATACAAAAACCACCAAGCAGAGCAAGCAATTAAGTAGAGGACAAAAGTAGGGACCCTACAATAGGAAAATGGCATGACACAGATAAGCCAAAATATATCAGTTATAACCATCAATGTAAACAGCTTCAATTCACCAATCACAAGAAGCAGACTGGGAAAGTGGATCAAGAAACAAAATCCAACAATATGCTATGTGCAAGGAATACATTTAACTAAAACAGAAATTAATAGACTGTACGTCAAAGGATGGGAAACAATATTTCATGTGACAGGAACCCAGTAAAAAGTAGCAGCAGCTATTCTGGTTGCTGACAATGTCAACTTCAAACCAAGAGTGATTAAAAGAGATAAATAAGGTCATGATATTCTTGTTAGGGAAAAACTACAAGAAGAAGAGATAACAATTATAAATTTATATGCACCCAATGTAGGAGCACTCAACTATATAAGACAAACTTTAACAGACATGAAAAATCAAATCAGCAATAACATAATTGTACTAGGGGACTTTAACACCTCATTTACACAAAGAGATAGATCAACGAGGCAAAAAAAAATCAGCAAAGAAATAACAGTATTAAACCAAACCTGAGGAGAACAGGACTTAGTAGACCTTTACAAAGTGTTCCACCCAACAGCATCAGAACACACATTCTTCTCAGCTGCACATGGGATGTTCTCCAAAATACACCATTTACTAACACATAGAACATGCTTAAATAAAATGCAAAGGAATGCAAATTATTCCATGCATATTATCTGACCATAGTGCAATGAAATTATTGACAAAGGAAGAGCAAACTACATAGACATGGCCAATAAGTAATACCCTCATGAGCAATCAATGGATCACAGACGAAATTAAAGAAGAAATGAAACAATATCTACAATCCAACAAAAATGCAGATACAACTTACTGGAACCTGTGGCATGCAATGCAAGTTGTCCTAAAAGGGCAACGTATAGCAGTAAATTCTCACATCAGGAAAACAAAATGAGCCCCAATAAAAAACCTCATGCTTTACCAAAGAAGAAATAAATATTTTGAATAACCCAGTATCAGTCAATGAAATTGAAAATGTAATTAAAAACCTATCAAAGAAAAGCCCAGGTCCGAAGGATTTGCAGCTGTATTCTGTAAGAAACTTAAAGAACGTTTAATGCCAACTCTTCAATGAAATTGAAAAGGAAACAATTCTACCAAAGTCATTCCTGGTGGCAAGTATTACTCTGCTATCAAAACCAGAGAAGAACCAAACAAGAGAGAGAGAGGGAGGGAGGGAAAGAGGGAGAGAAAGAGAGAGAGAGAAAGAGAGAGAGAGAGAGAGAGAGAGAGAGAGAGAGAGAGAGAGAGAGAGAATACAGACCAATCTTCCTAATGGACATGGATTCAAAAACCCTCAATAAAATATTAGCAAACAGAATGCAGCAAATCATCATGAAGATTATACATCATATCCAAGGGGGATTCATCCCAGGAATGTAGGGATGGTTCGATATATGCAAATCCATAAATGTAGTACACCACATCAATAGAGACAAAGATAAAAATCACATGACCATCTCAATAGTTACAGAAAAAGCTTTTGATAAAGTCCAATACTCATTTATGATAAACACCCAACCAAAAATTGGAATAGATGATCTTTCCCTCAAACTGATAAAAGACAGCTATGACAAAACAAAGCCAACATCAAACTAAATGGACAAAAGGGCCAGGGAGATAACTTGGTAGAATAAGCACCTGCCTGGCAAGTGCAAGGTCCTGAGTTTAATCCCTGGTACTACTAAATAAATAAATAAAGATTAAAGTCTTCACTTTAGAATCAGGAACAAGACAAGGATGCCCACTGCCACCACTGTTGTTCAATATAGTCCTGGAAACATTAGCCAGAGCAATTAGACAAGAAAAAATAAAAAATAAAAACAAGGGAGCTGGGGAGATGGCCCAGTAGAATAAGTGCTTGCCTGGTAAGCACAAGGGCCTGAGTTCAATCCCTAGTTCTGCAAAAAAACAAAAAACACACATGGGGGCCAAGGAGATGGCTCCATAGAAATGAGTGCTTCCCTGGCAAGCTCAAGGGTCTAAGTTCAATCCCCAGTTCCACCAAAAAGAAAAAATTACTAAAAAAAAAAAAAACAAAAAAAACAAAAAAAAACAAACAAT